TGGATATACTGGTTCACAGCTCAGGAGATCCAAGGTGGAGATATCTGAATCATCATGGATTGCTGGGTTGAAGGAGTGGGTGAAATCATCCATGGAGAATACTGAGTGAGAAGGTCACCCCGGAAACCTAGGGACTACCAACATGCAAAGCACAGGCAGAAGAAAGATGCTTTAGAAGACGACTGGGGAGGAGTGGCTATATAGAAAAGAGATGCCAAGAAGAGGCAGGCACCATGGACATCATAGAGAAGCATTCCAAAAGGCAAGCAGCAGTCAATGGCAGATTCTTCAAAGGACAAGCAAGATAATTTAAAGGTGTCTCTGATTTAGCAACAAGGAGATACCGGCAAGAACAGGCTTGGTGGACCAGCTGAGCAATAAAAAAAAAGTAGAAACAGACGGTATCACATTTCCAAAAATGGATCTGGAAAGGGATGCAGGGAGCTAGAAGCTATAAGGGAGAATTCAGAAGAGAGTAGCTGTTTTTGAAGCAAGATGGAGACAGATGCCACCAATAAGAGGAAAGAAGATAGATTAAAAAAAAAACAAAAACTGGAATCAGGGAGTGGTAGGGAGTTGATAGCATAATACAGTGATCACCTAATATTTAACAAAGAATTTGGCTTAGAATAGAGAATAGAGATGAGAGAAGTGTAAAGGCCTGAAAGATGTAAACACTGCAGATGAAAGAGAGGGGGATTAAAGGCCTATGAACAGCTCAGAAAGCTAAATGAGTAACACAAACCATGCCTTGATAAAGTTAGGAATCCACATGAGGGCATGAATTCTCTCCAAAGACTTTAGCATCTGGCCCAGAGCAGGAGTTCCTTAGGCTGGTTCCAATTGAGAGTCTGAATCGTTCCGTTACACCACAAGCTACAGTGGTGTAACTACAGTCCCAACCATACATTTGGATTATATCTCTTTACCAGTCAGAAGATTTAATAGGAAAGTATAAAACATAAGCAAGTTTATCTTAAAAACTGATCAGATCAATCATGTTGGTCTTAATATGTTGGAGCTTAATAATACAAAGAACCAGAAGGTCATCAGTGATGACTTCTGAATGATCTTTTAACCACTGAGACCACCCACTGGTGAGAAAAACTACAGAAACAATGATTCACAAAACCAGTTTCTAGCCTTTTCAACGGAATTTGCGCACAAAGTTAAAGAAAAACCATACCCATTGTATTGTTATGTTTCCCAAGCATATCACTCTAAAAACATATAGTAAGGTTCCTTTTTGGAGAAGGAAATGGCAACCCACTCCAGTATTCTTGCCTGGGAAATCCTGTGGTCAGAGGAGCCTGGTGGGCTGCAATTCCATGGGGTTGCAAAAGAGGCAGAGATGACTTAGCAACTAAACAACAACAAAGGTTCCCTTTAGTAGATCAATCACAGACTCTACAGCTTATTTTATATACTGCTGTTTTTTTTAACAACTTAAGCAGTGTTGTGTCATGTAAAATATGCCTACATAATGCCTCATTTAGAGAGCAGTCACATGGATACTTGGAGTATCTAGGCCATATCCGAGCACCTCCAAGTAAGCAAAGAACATCACAGGCTAGAATGGTCCAGGTCCAGAGTGAGGTCTGTGCTCATTGTCAACCCTCATAAAGAACATCTTATTCTTACTGTGGACGTAATTTTGCCAAGTTTGGTTACTACTGTTTCTTGTTTTAACAAACAGGCAATTAGTATGAGTAAATGAGAAAGAATCAGTATTCCACTGCTAGAGACAGGCACCCAGCTGATCTAAAAATCAGGAGAGAAAAAAAATTTAAACCAAAAGAGTATAAAAAGGAATTCAAAAAGCAGTAGCAGGATTGGGCCATTTAATCAAAGAGTCCTATAAACATTATCCCCTGAAGGTATCTCTGTATTAAGAACAGAGTAATTATGAACATACAAAAGGACAATCCTGAGGCAGCCAGGAGAGATAAAGGATGAACATTTTAGTTTAAGAAGTTAAATGTGTAACATTTAGAGTAACTGTCCTCAAAAAAGATGAGAGTAGGAATTTTTTTTCTGCCATTGGAGCTGGGATCACTTACATTTACTGGTCCCTATTCTGTGCCGCGTACTATTAAGACGTGTTTGCCAATCTGATCTCATTTACACCTCAAAACACTCTTTTCTGGTTGGTTACCACTTTAAAAAGAAGATTGTATTTTAAAACTGAGTCAAAGACAGGGATTAAAGAGCAGAGTCAGGAACTGGACACAGGTCTATGAGTTCAAATCTTAATGCTCTTTGAATAGAATTTCTAGATGATAAAAATGTAATTTATGATGCCTGATAAATAAGGCATTATGGTGCATAATTATTCCACTCTGACCTCAATTATGCTATTAAACTCCTATGTTGTAATCCTGAGCTACTTGATAAGACCAACTTCAGTGATACCATTTATCTTTCAAACATTTTTTAGGCCTTCACATAGTCTATAAGCATATTTCTCAGAAGGAAATCCATGGATTTCTACTTAGGGACCCACAGGGGTGATATTTCACAGAATTACGGTGGGAAAAAAAAAAAAAAACACTTGAAGATATTCTGAAAGTTTGAAGCAATACATGCTATTTACTAAACGAATACCTTGTGCCCTTTTGATATGCTGATATACTCTATTACATATTATTCATCAACACACATTTGATCGCCATACCCAACATTCAGGAGTTCATATATTTTCATTCTTTAGAAACTCACCCAAGGTCCTACAGTTGGTTAGAGAAAGACTGAGATTTTAAAAAGGTCCATTAGACTTTCAGACTAGGGCTCTTAATGACTTTCTACATGTCTCTCCTATTTCAAAGACGACATGATCAAAGTTCAGAGAACTTAAGTGTACTATCATCTCTTAAATAATAAGGATGTGAACTCAGCACAGTCATTCCACAAATGGTCAAGTAAATATTCTTTATACCACACCACCTCCATCCAAAACAACACAAAACCAATGGTAAGGGCACGGAAGCACCAGGCATCAGAGAAAAGGGGTCATAAGTGTTCATTAGACAGCATCCTGCAGTAACAATCGCTGACTTATACTCAGGGCTTACTTAGGAACCATGCTAAGCATTTTGCTCACAATTATCTTATTTAATCCTCACGACAAATTTTAAAGGCTTATTTCATCCTCATGACAAATTTTAAAGACTTAAAGAGGTTAATTAGGCTAAACTTTAAGCTAATATTCTTGTACATGTAAATTTCCACATGGAGGTGATTACCTAAGCTTTTTCTTTTTCTAATCAGTTAAAGATTTAGAATACGTCAGCTTCTTCAAGAATTACATTACTTCTAGTGTTTGCCTTGAGACTATACACTCCTAGAACAAAAAAGCCATCAAGACATTCTCCTGTACCACACAGGAGATGCAAATTTAGTTTTACAATGTAATAATAAATGCTACCTGAATCATGTAACATCAGAATTTGTTGTGTTTGTTCTGATAAGATGGTGTCATCCTATGTGGATTTACTGAAGTCACTATATCATTCCTCATTTAAACAAGCTAGAATATGAAATTCAGAAGCCACCAAAAATAGAAATGCTGAGAAGTGATGATTTCAAACATGAGATGACTCAGCCATTTAACATGCTTAATGAACAAATCTTTTTTTCCTATGGTATTTAACAGAATCCTATTAATTTTCTGTAAGTTTTTTTAAACGAATTCAGATTATTATTACTTTTCCTGTTGACTGCACCTCACGGCTTATGGTATCTTAGTTCCCCAAGAAGGGATTGAAGCTAGGCCCTTAGCAGTGAAAGCACCAAGTCTAGCCACTGAACAACCAGGGACTTCCCATACAGATTTTCTTGTTGCCCAAATAAAATAGTTACAGAATTTGTGGTATAGATAACCACCACAGCATTTTTAAAATTTCCTATTAATTCTCAAGGCTTCTATTCTAAAGATGGGAAAACAGAATTTTAGATCCTTAAGTATAAGAGAAACATATATATATAACCATTTTCATCTACCTTGTTTTACCAAAACCTCAACTCTAAACAAAAGGCACAAATCAATTGTAACAAGAATAAGAAACTGCGTGTCCTTGGAAGGTATTGTGCTAAATCCAATAAGTCAAACAGAACAAAAACATATCCTTTGATTTTATATATATGTGGAATCTAAAAAAATAAAACAGAAATTTGGTGTCAATCTAAAAAGTTGAAGATTAAACATATACTTAGAACATATATGGAAGAATGCCTATTGCTATTTGGCTTGCATTAAAAATCATGAAAATGGAGGAATTCCCTGGTGGTCCAGTGTTTAGGACTCTGCAGTTTCACCACTAAGGGCGCAAGTTCAATCCCTGGTTGGGGAACTAAGATCCTGTAAGCTGTGCAGCATGGCATGTAAAAATATATACATGCATGCATAAAATCATGAAAATAGTGACGGGGCGGGGAGCATACAGAAGTAAAGTCCAAGTTCAGGCAGCCAAAACGCACTTTAATGACTTTTCAGTCCTTAGAAAAACAATCACTAATGGATAGCATACCACTTTTACTCATATCTGGAAGATCAGATGACAAATATTTTTAAATGGGAAAGAATAAATGGCAAAGAACACAAAAGAACATTTAATCCATTAAGTTCAGTTCGCATAGGTAAGTAGAGCAATATACTATCTAAACAAAAGTACATATTTTTCACAAACAGACCTCTTGTTTTGAATATTTTCATACCCTTCTTATTGAAACGCCACAACAACCCTGAATAGATCAACTATAAACATATTTGTTAAACATGGGTAGATAAACAAATTAGATTATATGAACAGAAGTTATTTCAGAATCATCCTACTTAATCAAGAATAAGTAAGTTGTAACTTCTGGTGAAAAACGAAGCTTTCATTTCCTTTACTAACTCTATTTCCTCCTATCTTTGGACAATTGGAAAGCAATGATGTACTGGATAATCAAGCATGTGACATGCAAACAATGACTGTAAAAATTCAATTCCAAAGACCTACCCCTTCTTGTTTAGTGAAGAGATGAAGGCAGTCACTCAAAGCTCCATAAGTTTCTCTAGAAGCTTCGGCGACAACTTCAACTTTCTGAAGAAACGATGGAAGCACTTCTATAAATAAAGTAAATATAATGAGTGGGATTTTAAGTAATAGTAAAGGAAACCAAGACCACGAACATATTTTCATATCCACTAACCTCATGTTTCCTTCTAGCTGCCTTAAGCATATAATTACTGTTCCTCTGGCATGATTATTAAGCACCTAATGTATGCAGGGCATATAAATTCATATAGAAAAAGCAAAGGAGAAAGCCTTGACCTAGAAAAGCCTGTATCTTAAAAGGAGAAGAGCCAGGACTAAAAAAAAAGAAAGCAAAATTTTATAGACATAAATAATGTTTAAGAAAAACAGCTGTCAAGAAGGACTGATATCATTACTTATAAAACATTAACACTTCCTTTCATGATATTCATTACTAGATAAGTAATTTTATTCCAAGGCAAAGTGCTAAAAAGAGACAAAAATAATTCTGTAGTTGACATGACAGCTAAGAGATCTGAAGGCGGTATTAACTCAACTTCCTCTACTTCTTATTTGGATAAATGTTCTGTATAAATAGGTTCTTCGCTCTCAAAAATACAGCCTTGTCAAGGCCCAGTATCCTTCCGTATACATGTAAGCTGGGAAATAAATGATAATATCAGCATCTTCCTTGAACCCCTAAAGAAAATCTTAATCCACTTTTCCCATCATTAAATTTTTATTTTTTTTTGCAAGAGAAAAACCACAAAATGCATACATGTCACTTAAACAAGTGAAATGTCATATTAATGTGAGAAAAGTGTACTTAGTTGAAAGAGTGTATAATTAACATAAAATTCTAGGCTAAGATCCTTTAAATCTTTCCCTTCCATCAAAAAAAGAAATCATAGCATTAAGAAAGCTTTAAGAAAAGAATAAAAGGAGAAGGACAATTAAGTCTGTCACATCCTCTTGATGTACTTAAACCGCTGTTCTTAAAACATGGTAAACAAAGTCAACAAACAAAAAGAATCAAGCGAATCAAATGCCAACACATCTGAACAAAACCTTTCCAGTGGGAAGAAAATCTATAGAAAATAACATGACAAATTATCTAGCCATTATTTCTAAGTGATAAAGTTGTATCAACCTGTTCTCTTTTTAAATTTTCCAAATGTTTTATATGAATGAGATTTATTTTAGCAAAGACAAGTCCTTTTCTTAGAAAAATTATTTCTTAAAACTCATAAGGCAAAAGTATGCCATGAAAGGAAAAGATCATAGTGAATGAAGTAAGAACAGTCTTTTATTAGTATCTTGATATAAAGACCAAACGACATTTTATCATATTTTTCATCTCATGGGGTAGAGTTTCCTAGGATTTGCTATTATTAATGACACCCAAATAATTGAAAACTACTAAATTCTAAAATAGATTTGACTTTACATTCTTTTTTTCAATCTTTGATACACATTGTGAAGATTTAGTCTGTACTTAGTTGCTAAATAGCAAAAAAGAGTACCATATGCTAGATGCCATGTGACTTAAATAGTACCAGCTGGGGACTGGGGATGTGAGGAGATGCACAAGAAAAAACAGACACAGCCTCTGCATCCCGTAAATTATCTGGGTAATCTAGTAATCTTCCACCTTCATGGCACAAAGGATTGAAAAATGGAAGCACAGTCCATTCATGGATATATTTCTTTTTATTAGATGCCATCATCATCTCCAATTATGTCTATGTTTTAGATATCTAACACTTAAGATACTTATTACCATAAAACATTAAATGTCAAAATAAATTTTATTGTTGTTGTTGCTCAGTCGCCAAGTTGTATCTGATACTTTGCGACTGCATCAACTGTGGCACTTCGGGCTTCCCTATCCTTTACTATCTCCCAGAGTTTGCTCAAACTCATGTCCATTGAGTCAGTGCTACCATCTAACCACCTCATCCTCTATCACCCCGTTCTCTTGCCCTCAATCTTTCCCAGCATCAGGGTCTTTTCCAATGAGTTTTAGGGGCACTTTACAAATTTTTAAACAAGCTTTCAAAAGGTATTCCAAGAAATATATATTAAGACAAGTTTCTATAAGAATCTCTTATTGAGTGTCAAATTCTTCTGTCCAGAATAGTCAAAAGTTACCTAATTTCTCTGACTATCTTTGTTTAGTGTCCAAACAAGATGCTAGAATTAATATTAACCTGCATGATGGGATGGTGTAAGAAGCATGGACTTTGGTAAACACGCTGGTTCGGGGCTATGTATCAAGGCCAGTTGGTTGACACCGGCATGCCTCTTATGCGATGACGTCTCATACTGACTACATAAAGGAGAACTGCTAAGCTTCTAGAAAAGTTACCAACGGGGAATCACTGCAAATATGCTTTAGCCAACTAATATTTAGAGACTGAGCTGTAACAAATGCAAAAAGGCAGTATGTTACCATATCTGGCCTGCCCTGAGGATTGGACACTTAAATAGTACCAGTTAATTTGAGAGAGAAAGTTATTTTTTGTACTAAAAATATTGTTGAACTCAGGAAAGATGCTGGAAGATTATATGTGAAAAGCTTAACTTTAGAGACATGTATAAAAAGCTCACAGTCTGTCGTTTCCATGATTACAATGTACAATTTTTAATTGGATAAGTTTTAAAACTAGTGGGGAAGGTGCTTGTTTCTTGCTGTTCAACTAAACCCTAACACAGAACACCTCCATCGTTCTCCTTATACAGAGAACGTCCGCACTCCTTAGATTAACATTTAAATCACTCCATAAATGGTCAGTTTCAGCCAGACTGTTTTCCCGCGAATATCTGTTTTCCTAGAAATAGGATCCTATTTTACTACTGCTAAACTTCTGTTAAAGACATTCCCTCTTCTGTGAATACTGGAAATAGTAATTATTCATATTAAGAACGTTCTCCTCTTAACTAAAAAAAATTTTTAAGGTCAAGTTCAAATGCCATGCTCCCCATGAAGCCTTCCTTAAAAATCGCTGTGGGAGGTGACCTCTTCTCCTGGACTCCATACATAGCAACATCCACTTGCTGAGGACTCAGGCCCTTTGCACATGCTCTGCTACTCTGCTCATATGTACACGGTACATATGCTCACTGTACGCAGCTACTCTCGGTAAGCTCTAAACCTCTTTAACCACCCCCACAATACTATACACCAAACCCTGTACAAAGAAAAGACTCAAATATTAAAAGAAGAAGGAAAAATAATAAAAAATATTTTATTCCCACTGACTTGCATAGAAAATCCAAATCACTCTGGGATATTTTATTTTACTACAACAGAAGAATTATTATATTTTATTATTATATTTTAGCTAAAAAATATAATAAATACATATTATATATAATAAATATAAATATTTATTATATTTTAGCTAAAAATATATAAACTGTGAGTCACTCAGTCGTGTCCGACTCTTTGCGATCCCATGGACTGTAGCCCGCCAGGCTCCTCTGTCCATGGGATTCTCCAGGCAAGAATACTGGAGTGGATTCCCATTCCCTTCTCCAGGGGATCTTCCTGACCCAGGTATCGAACGCATGTGTCCCGCACTTCAGGCAGATTCTTTACCAATTGAGCCACCAGAGAAGCCCCAGAAATATTTAAGACATAAACATTTTCATTTATATTACTACAGGTTGGCTAATTAGCACAGGTGGATAAATGTATTATTTTAAACTACATTTTCTTTTTACTTGAGGCACAAGAAAATCTCTTTTGTCTGTTGTTCAATTTTAACTCAAATATTTCTATCATTGGGGACAAGATATTTAAGAGAAAAAAACTGGATGAATGGCATTTCCTCACCCTCTCACCCTAATCCTTTTGGACACAGTGCTGCCTTAAGTGTTTTTTTTTGTTGTTGTTGTTGTTTTTAAGTAAACACAAACAGTAGAGAATAAATAGTCCCAAAGCTATCTAGTGACAAAGCTAAGGTCATAGGAAATAAAGAAAATATCAAAATAAGACAATTTTTCTCTTGTGCTGGAAAACAGAAAATGTAATGTATCTGACTATATGCATGAGAAAAGGTATTTTTGAAATTGATTCATACTCCATTGGAATTATATAAATCCCTCAAGACAATCAATACTCTCTCCCCAAAATGGAGAAAAAGATTTCTGGACATAAAAATCAGCTACTCTTCTAAAAAACTTCTACTACATAAAACCAAAACTTTAAAAAAAAAATCAAGATTGGTGACATCATATAAGATAAAAATATAAACTTATCTATTTCTTGTTCAAATTAAGATGATTAGCTTGAAATCAATGACCCACTAAACAAGTACTGCTGAGCATTTGATCTATGTATCTACATCTATAAATTTATACTAGTTGCAATGGAAGTATAAGATATATAATTCAAGGAGCATGTGTTAAATGAGTTAAAAGCATGAGTTAAATAAGAATACAAAGATCATAACAAGGATGCAATAAGATATAAAGAGCAAACAAACTATACACACATAAATGTCACACATTTGGAGAAAAGAGCTACCATTATGGGATGGAATAATAAAGGGGAGTTTGATAAAAGTAATGGTACTTGGGTCAGATCTTGAAGAATAAGTTTGTTACTGTTAAAACACAATGCCCAATAAAACAAATTTATCCAAAATATCTATAACTATTATTTTCAGATAGTCTGAAAATACTGGTTCTGAGAAGAGTCTCAGAATTATGATCAATGAGAACTTGAGAGTAAGAGGATTTGCATCCACCACTTATTGAGTGGCTATCACGTGACAGGCACTACATTGCAGGTGCTTGAGATAGAGGGGTAAGTAAGTAACTGAGAAACAGTTTCTATCCTTACAATACAGTCTAGCAAGGAAAACAGAAAGTATAACAACTATTGAATGAACAGTATGGATCAGAGGGAGTCTTTAGAATAGTCAGAGGGAAAGCATTTATTTGTTAGAGAAACTAAAATGAATTAATTTAACAATTTTAGAAAAGAAAGCACCAGTTGGGAAGACCTTTTGGGGTCAAAATTAGGAAGAAGTCAGCAGAGCTATGAAATGTATTTTGCATTCTTTTACAAATAAGAGTGAAT